GTATGAGTCATAATTTTGCCTTTTTTTCTGCAAATTGCCTTTCAACAATACCTTTAGACAAACAAGCTAGTAGAAAATGAAGGTTTCTCTAAACCTGACAGCCAACAGAGCAGGTGAGTACATAGCTGGAGTACCAGGAACTGAGTGAAAGAAGGCAGCATTTGCTACTCCCCAAGATGTCTTTGGGATATTGATTCAGAATATTTGTAAGAAAAGAAAGACTTCGGAAAAACCTTCCACCTTCTCTCAAACTGCTTAAAACCATTTAGATAGAGGATCTCCTTCAAGAAGGGAGATATAATAAAAAAACCTATAATTTAATATAAAGTAAATGTGATAGGGAGAAACCTAGCAAGGCTTTTTGATAAAATCCTCTCTGTATGCAACTGTTAAAGACAACCTACCAAACATTTATTTAGCAAACATTTGTTTTTCCATCTCCATGTGATAGAGTCAGGTTAAACCCATCAGGGCAATTCATGGAAATTTGGACTTGAGACTGAGACAGGTAGTTTCTCCGGGCACTCACAACCAGAAGAGATGGAAAGCTAGATCTGGGGGAAGCCTGTGCACAGCTCCTCACAGCCCTGCCAAGCTCTGTGCCCTGTAATATATGCCTATGTTCTAATAAAAATTCTAAGGTTGTTTAATGTAAAGAGCTTTCAAGGCAGATCGATCTTAGTTCAAAATTTAAACATCAAAGCTATATTAACTATGTGATACTAGGTTGGTTGTTTTGTTACTGGTGAAATGAAGAGAGCGTGGCCCTTCTCTTCTTGAAGGAAAGAATTCAGTCAAGAGACAAACTATAGTGAAATAAGCAAGAATTATTTCTTGCTTATGGAAGCACACTCAGGAGAGTGAGAGCGCCCCCAATCAATTACAGAACTCAGATATTTATGGGCTTTTTTCTTCCTGAACTTCTTCGCTCCTGTCTCTTTAGCTCCCCCATCTAGCTTAGCTATCTATGCATGAGCTATGTGACTGAAACTGGTGACCTATAAGGCTGAACAATGTCCTAAGATTGAATCAGAGATCTGGTGACCACAAGCTCAAGTGTGGTGAAGCCTGTTTCAGCTTAACCCTGTGGAGGTCACGGTCAAAAACTTCACAGCATAGGTCAAACATCACACACCTTCTGAAACATGTGTTATACTCAAACTGATGGCTTAAACATTATGGGTTAACATTAGTCATGTACAAATGCACAGCTAGTCATGACCTTGAACCTATGCACCTGATATATGTAACAATATTTAAAGAATTGCCTTAGGGCTTGTTGATGTGCAGGAATGCATGAGGATAATCTATCCCCTTTCCCTTCCTTTGCCTGCCCCCAGCTCATGCCTAACTAGCTACCTATCCTAATGACCTGACTTCTCTAAAACTCAGTTTCCTCATTTGTTAAAAAGGAAAATGAATACCTACCCTGTGTAATTGCTATGATGATTAAATGAATTAAATCCACAGTGGAAAAGCAAAGTTCTTGGTATATACCATATGGTGCCCACTCAAAAGGTAGAAAAGATTCTCTTTGACACAAGTAGGACAAGGAACTTTATACCACAGGGTGTTAGGACAATTGTTGCATATAAATTAAATGTACAATAGATAATGACTTCATATCAAAAAAGAGAGCTATGATTTCTTTGGGGGAGAAAAGGCTGAAGAAGGGAAGTTTTTATCTTAGTTACTATAAAAACCGTTTTTGTGCTTCTCTCATGGGCATGTAAATTTTAGAAGCCTTTTTTTTTAAAAAAATAGACGTTTTTAGAGCAGTTTTAGGTTTGTAGCAAAATAGAGTGTAAAGTACAGAGAGTCCCCATACACTCCCGGCCTCCACATACACACACAGCCTCCTCCATCAAAGACGGTCCCCATCAGAGTGATACATTTGTTACAACTGATAGCCAGCCCGGACACCTCACCAGATGTCCGACGTTCACATTAGGTTTCACCCCTGGCGTGTTACACACATCAGAGCTTACAGCATACAGAATAGTCTCCCTGAGAAGTCCCACTTAGGAAGGCTGTTTTGAAGACAAGCAGATAATAGGTTATTAATGGGCCACACATTGCGATCTGAATGTCTAAGCCTTAACTGAAGACTGGTCTAACAAAGGGTGACACTATTAGGCAGTAGGAGTTGGTGCTCCATAAGTCCTCTCATGAACAATTATTTCCTCCTTCCTTCATTCTTATCTCCCATCCATCCACCCATCCACCCGGCTTTCTCTCTCATCTACTAGTTTTGTTCTTTGGTTTTCCAGCACCAGAGGTTAGGGTTAGGGTTAGGGTTAATGTAATCTTTCAAGTTTCTATGCCTTTAAGATTTCGGTGCTAAAACAGAGGATAGTGATTTTCATCTTGGGTTCATCTTGGTTCTTTTCTTGCTGTATAACTGCAATGCTTTTCCTTAAAATTTAAAATATTATTTATTTAAAATTACAAAAACAATACAAATGTTTTTAGGAAAAGAAAGCAGATAGTCCAGATAAAGTACAGTCCATCGCCGTTCACATTTCCTTCCTCTGAGGTAACCTATATATCAAGATTTTATTGATACAAATGATGGTGTGGAGGAATTTCTTGTGAAAACAGGTTCATAGTAAGTAGTCAGGCTGGTTCTGGTAAGTCATTCTCGATTTAGATTCCTCAAGACTGCCAGGCGCGCATCACCCTGGCAACCAGGGCCACGCCTGCGGGTGCGCAAAGGATTCTGGGGGCCCCAGGAAGGGCGGGGCAGGGCGCACGGAACATCCCCTGCTGGAGGGGATGGGGGGGGAAGTCTGAGGCCACACGGTTGAGCAGGCGACGGGTGAAGAGCCAGAGCCTGCGGGAGGGGGGTGCTGCAAGGCCGCGTGGGCATGCAGGCTGGCGCGCTGCACAGCGTCTCCAGGTAGCTGCAGAGGGGAGAGCCTGGCGGGGAACCGGCTTTGGGCAGACATCTCCCCGGCTTCATTACACCGGAGCCTGAAGGAGGTAGGCGGGGAGGGGAAGAGGTTCGGGCTGCAGGCCCGCGCGGAGCTGTCCGCCGCCAGGTGCCGCAGCCTTCCGTGGGCTATCAGCAACGGGAGGAAAGGAGGAAGGGGCATACAATTGTTTAAAAAACGGTTCCTTTCTTTTCGGGCCTTGCTTTTTAGGAAATACGTACTATATAGTTTTAACATCTTAGTTTTTGCACAGATTTTTGTTCTGTTATTTTCAGCTCTTGAATCTATGTAGGAGTTGTAATAACAAATATGTAAACAGCTGTTTTGCCGGATACTTTGCTAATTAAATAAAACATTCCTTTTTCCACTGAACGCTGCCTCCAAAGTTTTTGCTCTGGCGGGGAGCCTTGGACCCCTGCTGGTTGAGTGCAGTAACACTACAGCGCCACTGCGCTGTTCAGTCTGCTCTGTCCTGTGTGCAGAAGAGCAGGAAGAACACATTTATCCGTGTGACCATTTTAACTGCAAAGGCCTTGGTGAAATGTAGGGACCTTTCTGATGTGATTGTTAAAGATGAAAAGCTTTGAATTCTATCCCAGATAATCTGTAAATATGAGTAAAAGTATTGTCAGTGGTGGTTACCCGGGATGTACATTAGAATCACTTGGAAAATTTTTTCAAAATACATTTCAGACTTACAGAACAAGATTCTCTCAGGATGGGTCCTGGGCATGGACATTCTAACTGAGCTTGACAGATAAATAATAATTCTGCACACACAGCCTTAATTTAATCCCATGCTTTTTTATCTGATCGCCCTGAGTGATCGTACCCACTCCCTCACCTTCAGCCTCTGCATGGAGGGCTTCAACTAAGGTAGTTATGGCGCTAACAAAGATGAGAGCTAGAACCCAAGACATTTATGAGGTAGAAATAGTATTTACAAACAGAGGGAGAAGTCCATTGTTCTTATGAAAATTTCAAACTTACATAAAAGTCGAGAGATTACTGTTAGCTTGAATATAAAACTGCCAGTATTCACCCATTTTTGACATACAGAATGACAATTTCATGATTCAACATAATCTAAAACACTCATACATACTAACCAGATTCAGTATTTATCAAGATTTTGCCTTATTGGCTTCATCTTTCCCTTTTTTTTCCTTTTTACTTTTTATTGCTGAGTAATTTTAAAGGAAATCCTAGACCTTAAGTCATTTTACCCATATATACTTGGCATATATCCCTAAAAAAAAAATAAGTTTCTTATACAACTTCATTGTGATTATCACACCTAATTAACAATAATTCCTCTGTACCATCTAATACCCAATACACATTCATACTTCTCTGTCTTTAACAGTATCTTTTTACATTTTGATTGATTGAATTGAATTCCTAAACAAGGTGAACACATTGTTTTGGTGGTTGTGGTTCTTAAGCCTCTTTATTCCGGAGCAGTCCTTCCAAAACACCCCTCTTTTATCTCATGCCACTGACTTGAAGAATCTGGGTCATTTATTTACTCTTGGTTATGACAGTCATGGTGTAAGAATGAGCTTTGTGTCCTCTTCCATGATGTTATATAGTCTGGACCTCAGTCTGCCATATTGCCTGTAATCTTGAAGTCACTGTGTCTGTACTTATAGTCAGTATATCATTTCTTGAGTATACAGAGCCTATCCTTTACTGTGCCAAAGCTGGAGCCGGGTGAGTATGGTATCTTGGTTACGATACAAGCTGTGTGACCTTGGGTAAGTTACCAAACTTATCTAAGCCTCTGCTTTTTCATTTATAGGATAGGAATGCAACAATAACTTGAAGAGTTCTGTAAAGATAAAATGAGATACTGAATACACAATGCCCAATATTGTGCCTGATACACAGACAGGCAAGCAGTTGCTCAGTGAATGTCAGTTCTCACCAATGACAAGCAGTGACTTTAGCTTATATAATGGAAATACTCCTTTCAATAAAATATTTATAAAGTATCTGAAAAGTTATACTTTCTTGACATCACAGAATATGTACAATAATTTATCTGTAAAATTAAGCAATACCTACAGCAGAAGTGGAGAGTCTGAAGATTTTTGGAGAATAAATCATCTTCAGGAATTGAGCTCTACTGCCAAGGGAGCAGAGTCTCCTCTGGGCCCAAAACATGCTACAGAATAAAAGAAAAACTTTTAAAGAGAGTGCTATTTACATTGCTATCAGACAGTTAACTGGTAAGTTTATATCAAATATATATATAAAGTTTTGATAGTTTTTTCTCTATGATACAATTTCTTATCACTGGATCAATCTAATCATTCTAATAAAATTCTCATACAAATTTATGCATGTTATTTTAAACTAGATATCTGCAAGGATATTGTTAATTAAAAATACAGGGCTCCAACTTAGTCAAGAGCATTAAGTAAAAGTTCCATTTCTAGTAGCTATAAAATCCAGAATATTTCAGTCTAAACCTACTCAGACTTGTCTGAATAAGTTACTAGTAAAAGCACAATCTGTAACAGTAAAGTTATTAAAAAAAGGTTATTTAGAAGGGATCATATCTGGTCCCTGATAAATATAAGTACATGAATGATTCTTAGGTTATTTTCTCAGATGGTACTTCCCTCAACAATTCCATAACTAGCAAGTCATTTCAGGAGTTTCCAGTTGCATAACCAGCATGCATTCTAAGTTACTTCTATAGCTGTCAGGATGTCATTATCAATTATGGGGAGTGAGATCAAAGAAAAATGAAAGTCTTATACTGCCATGTAGAAGTGGGAAAACACTCAGCTTTCTAAAGACATTAGGCCAAACAGACACTTCTCATGAGGTTTTTTGCTCTGCAAATGTTGAATCGGGATGGCATTTCCTCCACCTCTGATCAAATTTTTATAAAAAGAGATCCTAAGAATTCAAAAGAATACTGAAGCTACCAAATGTTAAGGCTACAGAAAGCTTTAGATATAAAAAATAATATATTGGATGTTTCTTAAAAAGAGGACTATAAAATCCTGACCATCGTGTGATTAAAATCTCAGCTTAAATAGGAGTCTTAGCCATTCTATATCATATCAGCTTATTTTAATTCTCTGCAAAGCACTTTTTCGTGTGTGTTTGTGTGGCTGGCCACTCATTCACGAATTTATAATAGTATATAGTTCACTACTGTATTCTCTGGTATATAGTAGGTATTTGATAAGTAAAAGTATTAAATGACTGAATGAATACATAAAATCACATAAATTAATAATGTGAATGGATATTTGTAAGTCCTGTTACAAAATATTGATTCCTTTTGCAAAGTGCAAAATTAAAATTATCCCTTGTGTTTTATGCTTTTCAAGTCAACAATCAGGTTTCTTATATGAAGATATGCTGCCCTGGCGGTGTGGCTCAGTGGACTGAGTGCTGGCCTGAGAACTAAAGGGTCACCCAGTGTGATTCCCAATCAGGGCACATGCCTGGGTTGCAGGCCAGGTCCCCAGTAGGGGGCACATGAGAGGCAACCACACACTGATGTTTCTCTCCCTTCACCTCTCTAAAAAATAAATAAAATCCTTTTTAAAAACCATGCCTATTCTTGTGTCATTAATTGTTCTGATCAACGGTAAAATATCAACTGGGTTAGGCAGTAGAGATAGTTTTACGAAAACTTATAAAACTACAGGAGCAATCTTCATTCAATATCATGGAGTTACTTGATTTAGGACAATTTTTTTTCAGCAAATAAACATCCAGCTATTTAAATTCAGCCTAATTTCTTTGGTATTAAGCAAAGTATAAGCAAAATGTTTTCTTGCAAGTAGAGAAATGAGAGAAACCTCTTTTACCTTCTTGGGATAAAACGGGAGAAACAGGACTAGGAATCAGGATACCTGGCTTCTAATCCTTAATCTATTTAAAAAAAGGATGGGGGTCTTCTGTTAGACAAGTCACTGACTCTTGTTGAGCCTCCGTTTCCCCATATTTCAAAACAGATGAATAAATGAATCCTTGGTTTGAAGGTAACCTCAGAAGGTAAGTCCCTGGCTGATCATGCCTGAGCTCAGATGGTAGCTCTAGGGAGACTTCACCCCAGGTGGTGAGCCCTGCCCTCTGGCGGCAAGGCCTCAGTACTGCTAGTCAAGCCATGTCTTCTTCCAGAAACACCATATTCCTTTAGCTCTTGACATAGGACCACCTTTCATTTTCCTCCTTCCTGCCCCCAACCTGCTACTAAATGATGGAATTCCTCAACATACAGATCTGGGCTCTCTTCTCACTAGGTAATCTCAGTGTGGAAGGAATTGTGAGGGTGTTGGGTGAAAAAATGGCTCCAAAGCCTAAGTAGGCTGATAGAGAATCAGAACCTCTGAAGCTATATTTCCTCTGCACTTTAAATAAACACATTTTAAGCAGCACTTTTCTAATACAATTATCATTCCACATGTATGCTGAATAATAAATAAATGAATAAATAAATTTGAATGGCCTTGAAAAGTGGGGGGGGGGCATCAAAAGGCATATGGCTTTAATTCTAAACAATATTTTCACTGTATTTTTTTCTAGTTTTCTCTTTTTAAAACAATGTTCTGTGAAGAAAACCAGGCAATTGTGAATCAGGGTAATCTAGAAAACCTGAATATGACATATTACACATAAGTTAAAGTCCATATTCAAATATGCATGGTCAACAGAAAATTTAACTATTATCATTGGAGTAAATTGTTTAAAATGAAGATACAGAAATTATGCGTGGCAGATGTAGGGGTGACCTGAAGCTGAGAAGGTTGGTAAATTTTGGGGGGCAGAATTAAGAGCTAAAATGTAAGCAAGGTAGTCAAAATGAATTGTGAAAAGATTAAAGCTCTGGACTTAGATCCAAATGATCAACTTATAACCAGTCTGTATATGGGAATGAGAGGTAGGAAGAGATTTAGTTAATTTGACATAAACAAGAACATTCAGGTTACCTGAAAGCTCAAGAAAGATTTGATGTGAGGTGACTGCAGAAAAGGTTAGTGCTAAAAGTCTGACCAAAGGAAAAGATCATTTGCATTTCATGCTCAGTCCACTGCTAGAACATTTATAAGGTGCAATGACACAGCAGAGGGCATGTAGGAGGTGAACAAGGTACTGGCTGGTTTAATGCAATGGGAACAAGACTCAAAGTCGTGTCATTGGGACAAGGGTGGAAAATATTAACTATATTTAGGTGGCACAATACTTAAGAAGACGTGACCCTGGGATTGTTGAACGGGCTGTTCTGTGAAAATGGGGTTCGTGTAATTATAAATTCTTGAGACAAGTAATATAGCTGGCCGGTGTGAGTTATAAGAATTGTTTTAGCACAATGTGAGATAAAACTTTCTAATAGCTGATTTGCACCATTGGTGCCTGGTGTGGACGTGAGCAAGCAGCCCCAGTTCTTGCTTCAGGTGCTACATGACCCAGAGGTGGAGGAATTGTTTTGTACTGGGTACGGGGCTCCCCCTTACAGAGTTGCTCGGACTCCAAAAGTGACAGATTGGACTGCTTTTCTCTTTTAACTAAAAACTTTAGATTCACTTACATGGCCGGTTAACAGCCTTTGTTTTCTTTTTATTAAAATACCGTTATGGATAAACTGGAGTCGGTGTTACCCATGTCACGCTGTTTTCAAAATACCCAAACTCAAATACCCCAAATCAAGAGCAAAAAGGGCAATCGATAACCGGGGTTCAAAGTCCCCACCCTAGAAGGCCAGTCACCTTGGTGCCATCCCTTTTCCAGAGGAAACTCCGTTAATTCAAGCGCTGCCCTCCTGCAGCCTCCCCGGAGGTCCGCCAGGGCCGGGATCTGGGGGCCGGATCTGGAGCCCCGACCCACGCATGCTCGAATGCGCTTCCAGCTCAGGAATGACAGTCCGATTCCTTACGGAAATCCAGACCGGCTCTTCTTCCCTGCCGCCGGCGCGCGATGCCCTCCTTCCCCGCCTAGCTGCGCAGTACACTGCTAGCCCGGATGCTAGCTTCACTGCATACCGGAATTTCTCGTGGCTCACTTACCTTCTTCGCGAGACAACTCTGCTTCTAGAGCTAGTCCTGCCAGGGATCCAGGGCCTGGTGGGGCGGGATACGGAGGTGGGGGCGAAGCCTGGGCGGTGATGACGCAGGTGAAAGGACTACGATTGCGGATTGGCTGAAGGCGGCTGGGATCGCGGACCGGGTGGAACTGGACGAGAATGGGCAGGGAGGAGGTGAAAGGTGCAGGGCTGAGGGGAGTACAGGGGTAGAGATGAAGGTGCACCTGGTTGTGGCCAAGGGTTAGATACCTTATGGGGTCTGTACTCAGGCCGCGATAGGCTGTGAGAACTGATCAAGGTGGGTGGAGGAGCGGGGCGGGTTAGGTCCACGTGATTGAGGCACGTCTATGTAAGGGGATGGGGGTGGGGCGGGACTGAGATGTGGCCCGGGATTGGGTACAAAATTTCGACTCAGGCCACTGATTGGCTGTGTGACTTATAGGGCTGGGGCTGGTTATTCACAGCGGATTGATTAGGAAGAAAGGCAAGCTCTGAGGCCACCGCGTTTAGGCAAGTGGAGGATTGTAGTTAGAATAATGTTGGAAGCTGCTGGAGAGAGAGGGCAAGGCTAAAGAGAGAGTGCAAAAAGATGTATTTATCACCCGTGATGAGGATGAAGAAAAAAGCAGAAATGAGTTTGATCAGAGAACAGAATGAAAGGAGGGTGTGAGACTTTGGACCTGCATACATAACACTTTAAAATGAAGAATGCAAATCGTCAAAGAGAAAAGGAATACCGTGATTACTCCTTTGGGGAAGGCGATGTTATCGAAAGGAGAGCTGCTGTTAAGAATGGAGTTTTCATCCATTCATGCAAAGGATAATAATTCCGATAATTACTCTAAGTGAAATAAGCCAGACAAACACAAACACTGTATGATCCCACTCATATGTGGAATTTAATGAACCAAATAAACGGTTGAACAAAATAAAGCCAGAGGTGTGGATACATGGAACAGACTGACATCTCAGAGGGGAAGGCGGGGCGAGGACTCCAAGAGATTAGCCAAAGAACATATATGCATGTATACACAGCCCATGGACACAGACAACCAGGTGGTGAAGGCCCGGCAGGGGGAGGGAGCGGCTGGAGAGGGACAAAGGAGGGGAAAATGGGGGAACATCTGTAATAGTGTAAACAATGAAAAAAAGGAGTTTCATAATTACAATTCATTCCCTTTCTATTTTAAGAAGTTAAGAGGGTAGGTGGTGTGGGCCTGACAGTAGCATTGTTTTTCATGTCTAGAAAAAAGAATAAAGACCATCTTTGGTTGAAGAAATTACTGTTTGCCTAGCTTAAAGGAGGTTCAGAAGATGGTAAGGTGAATGGAGAAATCATTGTGTACAGTACATAATCTGCTCCTAGATTTTGAGTTGTTTTGAGAGGCATACATTAGTCAATAATATCCAGACAAAAAACCCACCAGGAACACACCTGTAGTCAGAAAGTTGGGTTTATTTGTCCTTACAATGAGGGAGAACACACATCTTGTGCAAATGTGAGTCATTTTAATGACAATATTAGAATAACATATAGGATTTGGGTGATTTGGGGGCAGGATTCAAGGAAACTGGAGATTCAATCTGTTTTGGGTGCTGTCAAGATGTGGGGTACTTCTAAGATTGGGTATCATAATACAGCTTTTGAGGAAGAAGGCAGGAAAATTGCAAGGTGAAACCTGTAACTGGTTAAAAAGCAACAGTTTTATCACTGGGAGAGGAGGAAGTTTGGTATTTTTGCAGTTGCAGAGTGACCTTGTTTTATCTGTGTTTAGGCAAGATTATGAAGTGATCTTGTCTGTCGTCTCACTCCATCAGGATCACAGTGTGACTTTGTCCCATGCAGGGGTTGTGTCAGGTTGTTATGTTTTACAGGGACACACCATAGGTAGTTCCTAACAACACCAGCCATAAGGGTGTCATTCAGCTCCCCATTCCAGCTGCTGCTTTTCTTTTTCTTACATTGAACAAATATGACTTGAGTAGACAGGTGCTGAGGCTTCTGGGGAAAATGAGGCAGAGAAAGTGTCTTAAACCTTCCAGGAGGAGGAACAATAAAGATACAAACTGACTTCAGAAGGTGGTAAGTACTATAAAGAAGCAACGAGGGGTAAAAACAGCAACTAGTTTGTGGAGGATGGTCAGGGAAGGCTTATTACTTTTTTGAGTGTTTTTGGAGGAGCTGATATTTAGACCCAGAATGAATGATGAAGAATCAGGCTTGCAAAAAATGATTCTGGAAAGGGAAAGAGCAGCTAAAAAGGCCCTTAAATGGGAGCAAACTTGGCATGTTTAAGGAATAAGAGAGACTAGTGTGTGTAAATCGTAGTGTGGTGCAGGGGGAAAGTGCTTCCAGATTAGGGTGGAGAGGAAGGCAGGGCCAGGCCATGCAGAGTCTTGAAGACCGCAGAAAGGAGTTCGGATTTTATTCTGAAGCAGCCATTGGAAAATCTTGGGAAGAGGAATAATGGGGTCTTAATTCAACTTAAAAACGATAGTCTAGCTGCCTTGGAGATGTGAATTGTGGGTTGGCAAGAGCAGGAGAAGATCTGTCAGGAGTTTGTCAGAGTGAAAGATGAGGTTGGTGACTCGGGTACTGGCAGCGGAGGGAAAGAGGGCTAAAGGTCTCAACATTCTTTATGGTGACAAGCACTTATTTCCTTGATTTCAGCACTTCCCTTCTGCTATCAACTGTACCTGGTGTTAACTGAGAAATAATAATTGAGCAGGTGTTTTGTCACCAAAAAGGATTTATTCTGGAAAAAGAGAGGGTTGCAACTCATTGGCCTAAGTGCCAAGATGCAGGGGTATTTAAAAAAAGGGAAAGGAAGTTAAAGGCAGAGAAAGTTAGAACCACAGAGGTTTACTAGAAACATAGAGTTTTTTCTCTAGGGTTTTCATGTGTGTGTTTCTTCCCATTACAGTACTGTGTGAGAACTTCCTTAAGTTCTAGTTCTTCCAAGAGACCTTCCCGACTGATGACGTTTGCTCAAAGTTCCAGTTTGTCTTTACCACTAGCTTCTCCTGAATTCAGACACTCTGTTTACCCTCTCCAGAGTATACCAGTGAACTGCTGATCTGCTCAGGTGAAGATGGACCTATTGGTGGGGCTATTGCAGACCAGGGGTGGAGACCTGGGGATCTGCTTGTTTCTTAGAAAGGCCTTTAAATGATTCTTCTGTATTTACTCCTGAACCTTTGGAGCGTTCTATGGGAGTAAACTGAGTTGGCTTTTTGGCTTTCTTCATGATTGGTCTAGGATTCAGCTTGTTTAAATCTGCTGTCAAGTATCGCCTGCCCATTTGCTTTATAAGTTCTGTAATTTTGTTGCCACTGTTATTTCACTTACTGTTTTTGTTCTCCTGGGGCTTAAAAGATCTCCTTACTGTTATACTAGTGGGTCTTAAGTAGAGAGAGAATGTAAACGTGTTTAATTTGCCATCTCTTGTTGTTATTGGTTTACACACATGTTCATTAAATGATGGAATGACCAAATGCTGGGCATCTGCATGCTTTGTTCATGTGCTAAGCCTTGTGTTATCTTTATACTCATGTTGGTGTTTGATGAGAAATATAAGTGACTCCCTAGAATTAATAGCTAATAAATGCGTTTTCCTTATATCTTCTCCTGATTTCTATTCTGAATAAAAAGAAAATACTTTCTTTTTATCAGTAAGAAAAAAAGCTTTATCTTACAGATAGATAAAGCCTTTTCCATTGCCTCATATAAAATACTAAAAATATTCTGAAATACAGCAGAGAGAGGACAGTATAGGATAGTGGGTACCCAAACTGTATGGTTCAAATCCCAGCTCTGCAATTTTCTAGCTGAGTGACTTTGTGCCAGCTACTTCATTTATCTGTGCTTCAGTTTCCTCATCTGTAAAACGTGGATACTAGAACCTTACTTATGCTGCTATTGGTTGATTTCATAGACCTGGAAAAATTTAGAGCTGTACTTGCTTCTTAGTAAGCACCATAAAATTGTTTTTTAAGAAAAAGGAAAAGAATCTTAAGAAGGGAGGCTGGTTATTCTCCAATATTTAGTATTCTCTTGTCCAATAATAATAGACCTTCCAAACTTCATCAGAGTACATGGGCGTTTGGTAGAAAGACTGCATTTCCAGCCTCTCTTGAAGCTTGGTCGGCCGTAAGATTAAATTCTGGCCCATAGAACATACGTGGAAGCTGGATATGCCGCGTGCAGGATATATCTTGAAGGGGTACAGTATGTCTTTATCAGTTCCTGGGTTTGCGGTTTCCCCACCAGTCCGCGTGCAGACACGATGGCTGCCGCCGCCTTGGACCACTAGAATCCGCTAACTGAAGATGGCAGAGCAGCCACCACTTCAGCCCTGGACTGTACTTACATGAGGGGGAAATCAGTTTGTTTTAACTTATTTACATGTTGTTGTTGTTTGATATGCGGTCATGATATGGCTGTGATAGTGACTCTTTTAGTTTGCTTAGCAAAGGCATCCCACTTTACTTTTACGGGGGCCTTCCAGGTGACAATAGACGAGTGACAGGGAGGAGATGAAGGTGGAAGATGTTGGCAGTGCCTCATCCTCTGGAAATGCCTCTCAAGAGGTGGCTGTCACTTCTGGGTACTAAGAATGTGAAAATTCGGCAGGCAGAACACTTTTCCTTTATCTTATAACCCTTGCACTGTACTAAGAAATACCTGCTCTAGGAAAAAGGGAATTCAGTCTGGGTTTGAAGTTCCTAAAGCCTTTCCCACCTTACATTCCTGCTATAAAGAGTTATATTCATGAAAGTTGCTGAGACTAGATCTCAAGCATTCTCATTACCGCCACACACAAGTTAACTTTAACTGTGTGAGGTGATGCTTGTGGTAATTATGTTGATCTTGGAAGTCATTCTTCAGTGTATATGTGCATAAAATCAGCACATTGTACACTTTAAATATATACAGTTATATTTGTCAAGAGTTATGTCCAGTTTTCAGCCCCATGTAGCTATTTTAAATACAAGATTTATGTGTGTATGTATTATTAAAGTACATGCTTTTCAGCCAGATACTAATAGCTGTACAAACAGTTTAAATATTTAAAAAATCATAATAGAAATTGTATAGGAATTACAATAGGAAGGCTGCCCAGGGTGACTATGTATCTGTTTATCTCTGTGTGTGCTGCCTGCCTGTCTGTCCACATGCACATTTATATGCTGGATTTATAGCAGTTTAATCTTAGCACTGGTTACCTGAGTCACTGAGAAATTTTTCATAGTCTCTGAACAATTTTTAAAAAGAGAAAATGAATTTTGACATTACGAATCAAATTGGTAGGAAAAAGAATTCTTCAAAACATCAGGTCCATGTGTAGGATATAATAATAAAAATTGGCCTTGTGGAAACTCTGGCAAGTATTGTGTCCTTCAAGACATGGACCAAGTGTGTGGCTTCTGGCTAATGGTATCAGAAAATATCACTACGTAAGTGAGTATCACTCTGCTAGAGCCTGGTAGGCATCGCTCTTCTGAGGAAGGTTTTATGTTTCCTTTCTCAGTCTGGCTTTGCCTCTGGAGTTCCTGATTTGCATTCATGTTGGAGTTCTTAAGCTCTTGGAGGCTCTTACAGGTTCTATGCAGGTTCTCAGCTCCTGGAGGGTTTCAGTGGGGACTGCCCCTTGCTCCCTCTATCTGTCATGGTGTGCAATGCCCTCTGGCACTGCTACTGGTCAGTACTATGTGCTTTATGTCAGGTGGATCCTCTGAGCAATGGCAGGAATGTAAATCAACAGCAGGTTCTCTAGGTTTGTAAAGAAGGGGTAATGATGAAATCAGTTTTGGAGAGGGAGAGGAGGAGTATTCTACTCTAAATAGTACAGAAATTTAAATAACTATAAAATTTCTGTAGTATTCAATAGGATATTAAATAATCAAATGTTAAACTTTCAGGGAGAAGCATCAGGAATGGTGCTGGGATGATACACTGTTCATGTAAGATGTTCACTCGTATGTTTAAAAATATTTATTTATGGTTTACCATGTGCCCTGAACCCTTCTAGCTGAGTCTATGATGAACAAAATAGGCAATGTTCCTGCCCAGATGGAGTTCAGAGTGTAGTGGGGGAGACAGGCAATGAATAAGAACAAACTTTGATGATAAAATGTAGTGATAAAATACTGTGAAGAGAAATAAAAATATTGGCCACTAGATGGAGCTCATTGCTCTCTTCTTTCACTTACCAGTCCACTCTAAAAGAGAGATGCTGTGAGCATGTTACACCATTGAAGTGTTTTGGGGCCAGGTGGTGGGTGCTCTTTCTCTTCCAATCCCCCCCTCCCTACTTAATTTCTTTTCTTTTCTTTTTTAACTAACTGTCTGATAAGGGGAATATGGTTAAAACATACTAAGGAGGCCTCTGAGATATCTTGGGGTAAGGGGAGTAGATCAACTCCTTCCTAAATCAGAAATCCTCTCCCCTCAATTTCTTGGGAATTTAGTTTTCTGTACTAAACTTATTTGAGATTAAACTTATTTATTTAATCTCTGAATTCACCGTAGACTATTTCCTTAAGAGAGGGACTACAACTATGTTCCCACTCCTTGGGAGAGTATGTAGTAGATCCTCAATGAATATTTTTTGAATGAATGATCCTTATAGCCTAAGCAATTACTGGTTTTCCCGCAGGGTCATCTAATTCTCTAGGGACTCTGTTTTGAAGTTAGGTGGGGAAAAAAATCTCCACAATAAAAACTGGGTAAGTTTGACTGTCTTGCGTTCTATGAAATCCTGTCTGTCAAAGAACTCTCGGTGGGACAGGTAGGATGTGCTTGTGTATATGTGTGTTTGTGTGTGTGTGTGTATGTGTGTGTGTGTGGTAAGTATATTATGTAGCATTCTGAGTTCTGGGCCATATTTTTTCCTCTTTCTATTTAGATAAAAGCCTAACACACATAATGGACGTATTTTTAGTGCTCAGTGGAACTTAATGAATATTGGGCACATGCTTTGTCAGGGCTAACTCTATAAAGAAGGTTCTTAAATCTTCTCTTCTACAACAAGTAAAAGGAACATCATAAAAACTGCAAGGGAGTTGGAATTTAAGGAGATTCATGGGTCACGTTTGAATCCACAATCTCTTGGTCTTAGAATGGTTTCCAGCGCAGAGATCCTGTGCATGTGTTGTTAGATATCTACCTATTTCATTTTTTAAAAAACAACCATTGTAAGTGATATTGTTTTTTAAATTTTGGTTTCCAATTGGTCATTTCTTTTATATAGAAATACAGTTGAAAATTGGTTTTTTTGTGTGTTACAACCTTGTCTTTTGTCTTACAACCTTGTTAAACTCACTTATTTGTTCCAAGAGGTTTTATTTTTCATTTTTAGATTCCTTGATATTTTCCTATATGGATAATCATAATGCCTGCGAATAAAGACAGCTTTATTTTATTTTGTCTGATCTATATGCCTTTATTCCTTTTTCTCCCATATTGTATTAACCCTTTTAGTATAATGTTTAACAGGACTGGAGAGACTAGATATTCTTGCTTTGTTCCTGAGTTAAGGGCAAAGCATTCAGTTTTTCATCATTAAATATGTTAGGTGAAGGGTTTTTTGTAGATTCTTTTTAATCAGCTTAAAGAAGGTCACTTTTTCTCCAGTGTAGTGACATTTTTCCAAATTCTAAAACTGCTTGAGTTATGCCTTCAGCCAAGAGTGAACAGGAAAGCTCTATTGCTTAAGTCTTTAGCTTAAGATACATCTCTTCCTTCTTTTCATGTTATTCTGGAGATTCTGTATTTCTTTATGAAGTTTTTCACTCTCCCGTTTGAATCCTTCCTTCAGTAACTGGGCTTGTTCCTAAAAAGGACAAATCGTGAATAAAGTGTAGTGGTAAGTAAATCCCTAACTTCTATCTATTTTCCACATTCATAGAATTTTTTTAGAATTTAATTTCTTCTTGAACTTTTCTCCATTAATTTTTATTATACTTTCTCTTTCTCTAGTAATCCTAGCCTCGTGATTACTTTTTCTGAGCCTCCTTTAGCTAAGAAAGATAGAAAGATTTTTGGCTTATACTTTCTGATATATTGATAAGCTTAAATTACAAGTCTTGGTCTTTTATCCCATTAATTCTATACATTTGTGGGCAATCTTAATCATATGTTTGTTTTCAAATCTTCCCTATGCATTATACACTTTTATACACACATACACATGGAGACTCTTTTATATACACACATAAATTCTTAAAATCAAATGGAGTGTCTGAATTTTAGATCAGTGAATTGGATTTAGGCCTCACAGACTGGGGGCAAAGGTAGCAGAATATAAATAAGGGAATCCAGGTCGGAAACTGTCCATATGGGCTTCCTGCACATCGCTCATCACACAGACTGGGAGTAGGGCCGAGGAAAGAGTCAGGAGTGACAGACTGATGCCAGTGTGAGAGTTCAGGAGTCTTTCTGCTCACAGCTTCTCTTAGAATTAAAGTCATACCACATGTGACAGAAAAACAGTCATTGTGGATTCCTTCGAATGGTGAAGGGGATTTGAATATCTTACCAAGCTGTGTGACCCTATAAAAGTTATTTACTCCTTTCTGAACCCCTATTTCTTCTCCTAAGTCATGGGACAGAGTTCTTCCTTCATATAATATTAAGAAAAAGATACAGATAAGACATTTTTATAATGCCTAGCAGATAATAGCTACCATTGATTGAAGACTATACTGATAAATGACTAGATGTGATATAAATTCAAATACAATTTTTAATAACCAGACATAGGCAGGCCCAGGACAGGCAGACAGATGGGATTGAAAAATATAAGTGGGTAAGAAAGGTCCTTCTGGGCTTCATGGTCTAACAGCCACTCAAAGAGATCAGGGAGAGTGGAGAGAAAACAAGAAGAGAAACCTCGAGGTGAAGCAATTCAATACCTGAAGTTTAAGACTGAGAACTCTGTCTTGTTCTGCCATTAACTGGGCCCTCTCCTTGTCCATCTTCTCAGTCAGTTGTTTCACATGCTCCTGATAACTCTTTTCTTTCTGCTCCATCATCTGCTGATTCTTTATCTGCATCTCCTCCAACATTTTTTTTGCAGCCTCTGCAGATTCAGCTTTCACACGTTGCTCTGTCAGGAGGAAAGGAAGAAAAAAAGCTCATGGGTGACCACGTTGCTTTTTTTTCTCTGCACACTTACCTGTTGCTGTTGCTCCTGGCTGCATCTGCCCTAGTCAGAGCTCACTTCAGCTAGTGAGAGGCATCTTTGCTCATTTCACTATTGTTTAAAGACCCCAGGTTCACCCAGCCAAATTATTTGAAATTTTAAAAGCTTTCGAGGCTATCTAGTCTCTTGCTCCTCACCTTCAATCTCCTTTTCCTTCTCTGTGAGAGTCTGGTCTGTCTGTAGAATTGTTTCAGTCACAGCCTCCTTGGACTCCAAGTATGTCTGAAGAATTTCTTCACTCTAAGACCCAGAGAAAATGGAGCTAGTAATAGGAAATATCTGTAAGCGCCTATTCCTATTTGCCTACCATCTTTTCCTCTGGGAATTGCTTTCCTTGGCCCTGGTGTGTCTGGTGGTCAAGATGCACATACTCCAGGTTGCCCAAGCATTGCACTCTACAAAGCAGATTCCTTTTTAAGAGACTGATAAATATGGATGGAGAGTCTCTGTTCTTTGAGTGAGGGCTCTAATTTTGGAGCTGTTAGTGCTGTGGTCCAATATGGGGTGAGCTTGCTGGGGAATGAACCCACTGTGGAGAAAGAAGATCTAAGAAAAGGAGGTGGAGGGGGAATGGAGGGAGGGAAGTGTGGGGTTGAGGGGAGCAACAGACAGAGAGATAAGTGTTGGTTACCTGTATTCCCTTCCTGGGTTCCTGAAGGTATTTTTTCTTTAGCTCCTGCATCTTCTGGATAAAAAGACGATATCCTCCTGGTTTAGAATAAATCCCCTGTTTTATATCTTCTTCCAGAGGATTGAAGATATCCTTAAGTAAAGCTGAGCAACGATCTGATGATGCTTTCATATTCTGTTTACAAAAGTCTTCTTGCTTTTTTTCTAGCTGGGCCTTTAATGTGAAAGTAGGAAGTAGAAATAATGGAGAGAAGATGTTAGCTTGATCTCAGAATTTTTGGAGAAGCTTCTCAAAAAATAAAGTCTGTGCCCCTATGAAACTCACAGGACCACATCCTCCTGATCTTGTGTTTCTAGTGAAGTTCCTTTCTCCCTGGAGGTAAAGTTTATGGCAGAGATTGCTATCCTTATGTTAGCATTTATGCTATGCATCTGCTGATCATCATGGGCCATGGCCTTTTGCACTGCATCTGCATTCTTGATCTGGGCCAAGGCCAGGACCTCATCCTGCATGCAGGGCAAATTCCCACAGCTAATGGTATTGACATAGGTCAGCACTTGGCTCTGTAGTTCTACAAATACACCTTTAGAAATAAACTTCTGCTTTTCAAATTGGACCAATGATTGCATATGGAATAAATGTGGCTCACCATAAGCCTGCTTAAGATAACTAAGACTACATATTCCTTTGCTTTTGGCTATAACATTAAATCAGTCTGATATCAGCAAGTATGTAATTTGATTAGGGGCTCTGATTGTTACCTATATGCACTTAATTAAATTAGAAAAAGAATATCAGTTTTTGAATGAAAAAAAGTTCCAAAACTTTGAGTCAATCATAATAAAATTGGTTCTTATAACAATAATAGTGGTTCTTATCATTTTAAAGTCTAGTGAAAATTCCTTCTCATAACAAATACCCACTGTATTTTCTAGTATATTTCACTTTCTGAGATCCTAATCCATATAAATACAAGAAAAAATTACCGCTAATTCCTTTTGGAATAAATGGTCCACATCCTTGAATGAGTTCTTGATGAAGACTTCAATGGCCTGTTTCTCACTGGCCCTGTGCAGGTCCAGCAGCTCCTGGAGGGTTTCTGTGGGCAGCTGCACCTTCTGGGCCATCTGCTCATCATAGAGGGCAATGGCCTTTTTCACTGCGGCTGAGTTTTCTATCTGGGCCAAGGCCAGGACCGCGTTCTCCATGCAGGGCAGACCCCCACTGCTGATGGCATTGATGTAGGTCAGCACCAGGTTCTCCAGTCCTGCAAAAGAGAACAAATGATAATGTTGACTGTAGTTGGGGTGAGGAATCAGTCTCTTCTGTGTAAATCTGATGATAATCTTTTGCCACTTGTTTGCTTCATAGCATCAGTGACCTCAGTGTCACCTGGAAGCTTGTTAGAAATGCCTACTCTCAGCCTCTGCCCCAGATCAACTGAATTAGACCCTCCTCTGGCAAGATCCTTGTGTGATATGAATACATATCAAAGGGTGAGAACCTCTGTTCTGGATACTATAGACCTGTGTTTATTGAGTACATGTACTTTATCACCAAGCACCATTAGGACAGGAAATGTACCTCTCTCATTTATGTCTCTATCATCAGTCCTGGTCCGTGGCAAGCAATTGTAAAATCGTTATTTGTGAAACAATTAAAAAGGAGTCTTTCATGTTATTTACTCTAACAGAACACTGTCCAAGAGAACTTTCTGTGATGATGGGTGTGTTCTATATGTGCTGTCCAGTAGTGGAGGCACTAGCCCTTTGTAGGTATGAGCCCTTGAAAATAGCTGTGTAATCAGAACTTCTAATTTTCTTTAATTTTAATTAATCTACACTTAAATTTAGATAGCCATAGTTGTCCAGTAGCTACCTTAGAGGATAGTACAGGTCCAGTTTACTAGGGCAATTTTAAGCAATAGAGCTTTTTTCTTTGTCCTTTCCTATCTTTTCTCACCCAAGACATTTGACTAATAAAATCTATTAGAAATGTTGTGTTATGTAGAATGTACCACAGAAGTAGTAGTAGATTTGCATTTTTCACAGATGACACTAGGTAGATGTTATTTTAACTTCCTTTAGTCCTAACAGTGAGAGTAAAGACTGGGAAGAGGACCTACGAGGTCCATTGACCTTGATGTCTCCTGGAAGTGTTTTAACTTTGGAACTGTTGAAGATGTAGGAGCAGAAGACTGTAGCTTGTTGCATGAAGTCAGAGTCTAGCTCATCATCATGTAGGGTCTCAAGCTGGCCTAGCTTCTTCCGGTGAGTGGGCCGGTCAAAGATAAAGCATTTCTTCTTTGGGAAGAACTTCCGGATACAGAGTCGAGGAAGATTAAAATTTTCATCCTTTTGATTGGTAACTGGAAAAAGACAAAAAAGGACTTCGCTTAATAAGGGGCTTGGGAACTTTTTCTATAAAGGACCAAACAGTAAATATATTAAGCTTTGAAAGTCAGAAGGTCTGTTTTCCAAGTACTTAATTTGGCTATTAGAGCATGAAAGCAGCCATAGACAATCTACAAATGAATGGGCATAGCATTAATCCAATAAAACTTATTTATGAGACAGCTGGAAGGCTGTATTGTCCATCATTTGCCTGTGGCCATAGTTTGCCAACCACTGGACTAGTTCACTGTTATGCTTTAATCTATTTTCTCTTTTTTAGTATATTTTACTGATTATGCTATTACAGTCATCCCATTTTATTCCTCCCCTTTATCCTCCTCTGCCCTGCACCCTCTCCCTGCACCCCCTCCTTCCAGCATCCCCTCCCCACTGCTTAGTTTATGTCCATGAGTCATCCATATAAGTTCTTTGGCTTCTCCATTTCCCATACTATTATTAACCTCCCCCTGTCTATTTTCCACCTACCATCTATGCTACTTATTCCTTGTACCTTTCCCCCCCATTCTCTCCCCACCCCCTCCCCATTGATAACCCTCCATGTGATCTCCATTTCTGTGATTCTGTTCCTGTTCTAGTTGTTTGCTTAGTTTGTTTTTGTTTTTAGGTTCAGTTGTTGATAGTTGTGAGTTTGTTGTCATTTTGCTGTTCATAGTTTTGATATTCTTTTTCTTAGATGAGTCCCTTTAACATTTCATATAATAGGGCTTGGTGATGATGAACTCCTTTAACTTGACCTTATTTGGGAAGCACTTTATCTGCCCTTCCATTTTAAATGATAGATTTGCTGGATAGAGTAATCTTGGATGTAGGTCCTTGCCTTTCATGACTTCAAATACTTCTTTCCAGCTCTTTCTTGCCTGTAAGGTCTCTTTTGAGAAATCAGATGATAGTCTGATGGAACTCCTTTGTGGGTAACTGTCTCCTTATCTCTTGCTGCTTCTAGGATTCTCTCCTTATCCTTAATCTTGGGTAATTTAATTGTGATGTGTCTTGGTATGCTTATTCTTGGATCCAACTTCTTTTGAACTCTCTGAGCTTACTGGACTTGCATGTCTAGTTCCTTCGCCAGATTGGGGAAGTTTTGCTTCATTAATTTTTCAAAAAAGTTTTCAATTTCTTGCTCTTCTTCTTCTCCTTCTGGCATCCCTATGTTTCAGATGTTGAAACAATTTAAAGTGGTCCCAGAGGTTCCTAAGCCTGTCCTCATTTTTCTGAATTCTTGTTTCTTCATTCTGTTCTGGTTGAATGTTTATTTCTTCTTTCTGCTCCAAACTGTTGATTTGAGTCCAATTTCCTTCCCTTCACTGTTGATTCCCAACATATTTTGCTTTATTTCACCTTCTATAGCCTTCACTTTTTCCTTTATTTTGTGGCCATACTCAATAATTTCTACGAACATCCTAATTGTCAGTGTTTTGAACTCTGCATCTGATAGGGTTGGTTGTCTTTTCATTGCTTTCATTGTTGTTTTTCTGGAGTTTTGATCTACTCTTTTATTTGAGCCATATTTCTTTGTCTCTGTGCACCTGTTACATTGTAAGGGGCAGAATCTTAGGTATTCACCAGAGCCAAGCAACCTTCTTTGCTACATTTTGGCGCTGTCTGTGGGGAAAGGGTCAGAGAGGGAACAATGTTGCTTGCTTGGCTCTCACCCTGCTTTCAGTCACTTCCCTGGATTTCCACAAACAGACTGGACCCTTTCAGGTGCTGATTCTTGGGTGGGTGGGCTTGTATACATTCTAGGATCCTGTGGACCCCTTGAATGGACTCTCCTGTGAGATTAACAGTTTCTCCCACCATTGGAACACCCATAGGTTTTTACAGCCAGAGATTTTGAGGCTTATAGTTTCTGACCCTGGAACCATGGGTTGTGTGGTCTGTCTCACTCCCCAGTTGTTTCTCCTGGCTTATCTGCACGTGTATGTGGGATATCCTGGTCCACCAGCTGCTGCTTTGCAGCACGTCCTCTCTTCTGGGTGCCCATCTCTGCTCCTCCTACCAGTCTGGATGAATACTTCTTTAACTCCTTGGTTGTTGGACTTCCATACAGTTCAATTTTCTGGCAGTTCTGGTTGTTTTCTGTTTTTTAAATTGGATGTTTATCCTTCTTTTGGTTGTGCAAGGAAGTGAAGTGTATCTATACCTCCATCTTGGCCTAATCTATTTTCTTTAAATAAATGCCCACTCTTCTTCATATTCATTGGCTAATTACAGTATCACAAGCTCTAAGCAGGGACATAAAATTCATTGTATCATAGCACAGGGAGAGCTGAAAGAAAGCGAAGCTTGTTCTTAGAATGGGAAAAAGACAATTCAATGTCAAATCTACTAATTCAGATATTAAACAAACAAGCATTAATTTTTAATAATATCCAGCTGAGAAGTAGAAAACTATAAATATTGGAAAACTAAGTGGAAAAAATTTTAAAAAGTGATACTTTCTAGTGTCTTGTCATTCCCAATAACCAATTCTAAGTCCCCTTCACCTTTCTTAAGTTTGAGTGAATTCTCCAGGTACTCGTCCGCTGTGATGGATTGTCCATTTGCTTCCAAGTTTAGGGAAAAGTCCCTCAGTGTCCACACAAAATCTGGAAAGAAGCTTATGAAGTCAGCAGAATCCTCAACCTCATTTGCATCAGGTGAAGATTTTGCCCGTATTCGATCTGTCAACTCTGTCACATAGCTGAGTAGCAAACTAAGGAAAACTGGTGTAAAAGAACAGTGCCCCTCGTCCCACATTAGTCCCACATATTCAAAACCTTTGTTTCTAACCCAAGAGTCAATTCTTCAGTAGGCAAATAGGATCTTTCTTTTGCCCTTGAATTATTTTTTTATATTTTCTCTTTTTGTGCTTGATTCACCAGGATTCACATTCACGTAGCTTGTTTTTTAACAGGTCTCCCTCCGATTTTGATGCGGTACTTGACCACAAAAAGGATACTGCAGCTGGTCCATGGCCTGCTGGTTGATGGTCCCCATGCTGTTGTACACAAAGGTGCTGCTCAGCAGTATTGCCAGGGCAAAGATCCAGGAGTCATTCTGGTTGTCACCCTGGAAATCAGAACACATTTGGGCCAGGATTATGCTTCATTCTCATGGAACTTTCCAGATCAGCAGTAGTTAAAGGATGCTCATTTAATGAGTGTTTGTTTGTGTGTTTTTTTTTAGATTAATGACCTATAAGAGGAAACCAAATCCAAATGAAAATGATTGTTAATAGGACTTGGACTTGGAATACTTCTGATTACTGATTTTGGTTTACACTGATTCTTACTAGGTCCTCCTATGATCATTGGCAGATAATTGTGAAACAAACAGTCAAGGTTAGTAGGCATTCTAGGCCTTAAGTGTAATTTTTATTGAATTTTCTCTATTTTACAGCAATATTGACATATAATTGCAATAATATGTATAGTTATTTTATTGAGCAATTATTATGTACCTAACACTTTCCATTCTTATTAAATATTCAAACATTCCAAGCAATATTATGAGGTAAATATAGATGATTTATATCTGTTTTATAAATGAGAAAGCTGAGGTTAAAAGAGGTGAAATAATTTGTTAAGGCAACTATGTGAATGACAGTTTAAGTTTAAACAGTATAGGATTTCTGAACATAAATCTTTAACTAAAGCTCTCTGCAATATAAGATTCATGGCATTGATTTTTTTATACTGCCTGTATACATCTGGGTTAACTGGCTTAGCTGATAGCCTGTTGTTAATAACTATACCACTATCTATTGACAACTATGTGCTTCTTCTAGGATTCTTCCTTATGAATATTTTTCTCACCTCTGATTGTAACACTTGGTCTCATAAAACATAAACAGAAATAAAAAAGGCATAGTTTGGTTCAGTGCACACTCTTATTTGAATAAAAGTTAAATATTGTAGAGGATATCCAAATATGAGGGGCTTGTCCCCAAACTGAATCTTCAATACTTACCTTCTCTACATCTCCCAGGCCCTCAGTGTCAAGCAGAACGAGGGTGTGGTCTGCCTTCTCAGGATGAGGCACACACCACATCCAGATTCCCTTGGTGTGAGACTGCACCGTGGAGCCCAGAGAGAAGCCTGCCGGGGGGAGAGGAGGTGAGAGGGAGTGGAGTTTTAATAGCAGATGTGTCTTGAAACTGAGATAAGAGTTAACATACTCAAGGAGAGAGAACCAAAACCACAACCAGTATTAATCTGAATCTTACTTACAATTAGAGAAATAGGGAAAATTGAATATCCATTACATGAAAACATTCAACACCTTTTTATGATTAAAAAACAAACAAACCCAGGACTAGAAGGAAACTAACTCAACATAGTAAAGGCCGTGCATGAGAAATGTTCAGCCAACATCGCAGTCAATGGTGAAATACAGAAAGCTTTCCTTCTATAAAAATTAACCAAAGTAGTTCAAGGAGCTGCATGTAAGAGCTAAAACTATAAAACTCCTAGAAGAAAAAGTATGGGAAAAGCTTCATGATATTGGATTTGCCAATGATTTCTTGGATATGATAGCAAAAACATAGACAACAAAAGAAAGTAGGTAAGTTGGACTTCAAAATTAAAGCTTTTGTGGATCAACAGAGTTTAATAGTTATCCTACAGAGTAAGGAAAAATGTTTTTTACTCATGAATTCATTAGGGGATTGATATCGAGAATACACAAATAAGCAAAATATAACAAGAAACATTGAATTAAAGAACAAACTGACAATAACCAGGGGGAGAGGGGAGAGCAATAATGGGGAAAAAGAGGGGAAGGCCCATCAAGGAGCATGTACACAGGACATGTGGACAAAGCCAAAGGGGGTAGGTTTGAGGGTGGGAGGCAGGGATGGGTGGGGTGGGGGCCGAGGTGGACAACCATACTTGAACAACAATGAAAAAAAGAAAAAAAGAACAATAACAACACTAAATTAAACACAAAAAGAAATCCTACAGTGCAACCCCAGAAAACAAAACAACCCAATTAAAATTTTTCACAATTAAAAAAAGAGCCAAGGACTGGAATAAAGATTCCTCAAAAGAAAATATATGAATAATCAATGAACACATAAAAAGTTGATTAACATCACTAGCCATTAGGGAGATACAAACCAAAACCACAATGACATACTATTTCACACCCATTAGGATGACCAATATCAAAAAAACAAAATAACAGGTATTGGTGAGAATGTGGAGAAATTAGAATTCTGTGCATTTCTGGGAGAAGTGTAAGATGCTATAATTGCTGTGGAAAATGATATGGTGATTTCTTTAAAAAATTAAAGCATATACTTCTAGGAAAGGAATAAAAATTTATGCTTTTAAAAAAAGAAATTAAGACAAAGTGAGAAGAGACAGTGAGTTGACTCAGATTCAGATAAGAGCAGAACTATAGATTGAAAGTTAGCTTTCAGTATTCCTCCCATCTCCAACTTTCTCTCCTTGCAACACTATACTCAGTGCTGGGAGTGTGTGTGGACAGAAGGGATCTGGAAGAGCTTTGCTGGTGCCCCTCACCTTTTTTCTTCCCAGCCAGCTTGTTCATCAGGTAGGATTTGCCTGTGCGATAGAGGCCCACAATAGCCACCACGACAAGAGGCTGGGTAATGGCAGACAGGATCTTCAAAGCTTCTGGATTAACTTCTAGTTTCCCATTAGTGTTCTCAATGAGGCACACTGGGGCTGGCATGTGGGTCTCTGAGGCCATGTCCAGGGTGCAACCTTGTCTGCAAGCAAGAAGATGGGTTGCATTAGCATTTCCAGTCTAAGTAGATGAAGATCTTTCAGCAGGTCATTTTGCATTGAGACAGTAGAGTCATAGAATTCTCCAATATGGCCAAAAATTTTGTGTTAGTAGTGAGATAGAGGAGGAAAAGATCTGTATTTGTTTAGAAAGTTACAGAAGTGTAATCGCAGTATCCCACTAAAAAATACTGCTATGACAGTAACATCAACATTTAACCACTTTCGTTACCAAAATCTTTAATTTTCTATGAAAAACTTTCTTTTTGGATTTTCATTAAAATTTTTACATTAGATATTAAATGTAAAGTAGAATAGGGTTTAGAATGTGTTTTGCATCCTGGCTATAAGTAAGAAATACAATATTGATGTATTTATTCATTAATTCTATTATGAAGACTTGTGAATAAAGGTTTTATCATTTGATGGATATTCTTTGGGTAATTTTCACAGATTTTAAATGTGTTTTTTTCTATTATTCGCACTTATTTTATCTGAAATGAGGGCTCATAGAACTTTTTGCACTGCTATTCCAGAAGTGGAACCAACATGACTTAACATTTGCACATTTTATAAAAATGTGTGACCATGTGAAACACGGGACTACAGACTTGCCCAAAGCCTTGGTGTGGGCTTGTGTAAGCAAGAGCTCCTGATAGTTCAATGTCATTAGCTTCACAATAAGCCTCCAACAAAGTGTTGCTAAAAATCATGTTTGTGTATATACGTGTGTGTGTGTGTGTGTGTGTGTGTGTGTGTGTGTAAGGGAACTAAAGACTATGAAATACAGGTTAAAAGATCAGGAAGCAGATCAGGAGAGCTGGAGAGGAGGTTGTTTAATGAAAATATACTTTCAGCCATACACTTCTGGTTTTCCTGTTATTTTCCATTTTCCCATTTGGTGGGAGAGGAGGAGAAACAGGAAGAGGAGAGGAGGGGGAGTGGGAGGGGGCTGGGTGGGGAGAGAAAAGGGAGGGAAGAGCTGGAAGGAGAGTGACAGCTGCGGACAGGTAGGTGACCAGTGAAGCTCTAGCCAAGCCCAGGAATTCAGAGGCAGATTTTCCGGAAAGCAAGAACAAAATTGCTTGAGAGCACAGAGGGGTCAGGCAAACCAAATGCTGGCTTCAGTGATGACCACAGTAGGTTTTTTAAAGAAAAAACTTTTTAGTAAAGTAGTGCAGCCCAATTCTACTTGTAAGGGGTAAAAAGGGAGTTGGCACTAAGAAATTGAATTTAATGAACTTGAAGTATTTTACTTTTATTTTTTTTAATTTATTTTTCAATTACAGTTGACATTCAGTATTCTATTAGTTTCAGATGTACAGCATAGTGGTTAGAAATTTATATAACTTAAGAAGTGAGCCCCCCAATAGGTTGAGTACCCACCTGGCAGCATTCAAAACTGTTACGGTATTATTGGCTATGTTCCCTATGCTGCACTTTGCATCCCTGTAACTGTTTTGTAACTGCTGATTTATACTTCTTAATCCTTTTTTTTTTCACCCAGCCCCCATCCTTCCTCCCATCTGACACCCAGAACTTGGGTTACATCTAAGACGAAACGAAAAGTAGAGAAATCTACTTTTAAACAAACCTCATATGTATGATTCAAAAAGTATGGTGTTTTTGTGCATCTTCATCTTTCACTCTGGGTTTCGGGTTTTCTTTTCTTTTTTTTCTTTCTGTCTTTAACAGTGTCAGGTGGCTGTTTGACACTGCGTGCCATTTACTCTTCTTTCTTTCTCATGAAAATAACATACTTGTAGCCCTTAGCTGCAGTCAGGTCAGAACTGAGCAGGTCCGTCAAAGACAAGGGTAAGTTAACTGTGTCCTCAGCCAACACAGATGGCGCTGGCAAAGAGAAAGACGATCCTAATGCGCTTCAAGCTGTTTGGCCTCATGTCTGCTGGTGTCTAATTCCACACAAGCACAGAGGGGACATTCAGGGATGAGCTGCCATCTGGTGTCGCCAGGATTTCACCTAACCTCATGTCCTATGTTGGGCTCAGCTGCAGCCTATCTTCATGTTGGTCGTTTTTTAGAAAATAACCTGACCTTTGTAAATCCCTTCCCACCCCTGCCCCGACCTTATCCTGGGCTCCCTTTCTCAGACCACAGGTCCTTTAGCGGTGGCGAGAAAGCTGCTTTAATGAGAAAGAGAAGTTCTTACCTGTTTTTTCTCCTCAGTTTAGGTTGGAGTGGTTTCTGTTACCTGTCTGTCTTTCACTGGATGGTTGGACTTTTAATTTCCTGATGTCATGAGGCTTTCTGGATTTCCTAAAGACCTTGAATTGTGAGCAAAGGTTTTCGAGTAATGTGAAACTGAAAGCACTAAGTGCGAAGCTATAACTTGGCAAACAGAAGGGATTCCTGAAAGCTGTGCAGATGGGAGGGTGCATGGGTTTCACATGATTTCTCAACTAGTTCATTTTGACAATGAACTCCACTCTTTTTGGTGGGTAAGGTGGGGCTTCCTCTTTCCTCGTCTTTCAGTCAGAGGAAGCTATGTCACTGGGAGGGGCAGGCCACCAGTATTTCCCATCCCCTCCGACACTAGATTCCTGGATTGTGTAACCAGAGGCTAGGGCCTCCCATTCCCCACCCAGCCCCACTCATAAAGGCAAGGCTGTATTTCACGCATAGCAGGCTGAGCTCAGCTGGCCTGGCCACCCTTACTTTGGCTCACTTGTAGGATGGAGCTTTCAAGCTGGGAGAGACAAGTGGGGAAGACCAGAGGTTACCACCCCTGCCCAGGAGAGGAGCAGTGGTTCAGAGGGTTTTGTCCAGGGAGAGAGACAGTCCGTAAACACGGAGATCAGCTTCAGGGTGTGGAGCCTGAAGAAACTTTATTTCTAGCAAATTGACTTTACAAAAAATACAAAAACAGCTTTTCAGGAAGGAAGCAAGTGACCCCAGATAGTAACACAAAATCATCCAGGAAAACAAAGAACACCAGTTAGGGAATTATGTAATTATAAAAGATGGTATAAATGCAGATTTCTTCTCCTTTCTTCTCTTAACAGGTTTAAAAAACAATTGTATTCAACAATATGTATATAATTTATAGAGCCTATAACATATGTAACATTTATGTATGTTATAGTGCCTTATGTATGTTATAGTGCTTATAACATACATAAATGTAATGTATTTAACAATAACAGAATAAAGGAGGTTGGTGGACTCAAAGCCCATTGGAATAAAGATATGACAATGTGAACTTGAACTCATACGAATAAAGAGAACAAGAAATTGTAAGTAAGAAAGTTAATAGAACAAGTCCTATAAATTTATTCTTTCTCCTTCTACTTCTTTAAAATACATAAAATTATACACATTAATAATTATCAAAGTGTATTGCTGGGGTTGTTACTTATATAGATGTAATTTGTAATGCATATGTAAAAATAGTAACACAAAGGAAGGGAGAGGGAACAAAGTTATAGGAGTAATGAGAGTTCTGTATCACACTGGAATGACTTTAGTGAAAGTCTGAGGTATATTTTTAAAATTTTTATTGAATTTATTGGGGTGATATTAGTTAATAAAATTATACAGGTGTCCAGTATGCAATTCTATAATATGAGTATATTGTTTTGTGTGTTCATTTATCCCCCTTTACCCTTTCCTATCTCCCCACTTCTCCCTTTTCCTTTGGTCATCAATATACTGTTGTCTGTGTCTGTGAGTCTGTTTGTGTTTTGCTTTATCCCTTCACCTTTTTCATTCAGTGACCAACCCCTCTTTCTCTGAGGACAGGGAGACTATTGTGCTAAGTAAAAGAAGCCAATACTTGTCAGAGAAAGACAAGTATCATATGATTTAACTTATATGTGGAATCTAATAAACAAAATAAACTAACAAAATAGAAACTAATTTATAAGATACAGAGAACAGACTGAGGTATATTCTTATAAACTATATATATAGCTAGTTTATTCTTATAGACTATATATATAGTCTGTCCAGAAAAAGCCCAACCATTGTTAATATAATGAATTACAATGTTTTACACAACATTAATGTAAGCTGGCAGCCAAGGAGAGTGGACTGGAATGTACATGTGTGAACAATGTGACTTCACTGTGCTAGTCAGTGGGGGTGGTAAACGCCATTGAGTGAGCATGTGTACTGTGTGGCCGTTACATTCAAAATGACTGAGCGAGTAGAGCAATGAATCGGCATCAAATTTTCATTAAGCTTGAACATCCCTCTGCAAAAACTATTTGGATCATTCAGAAGGCTGCAGCTATGGGCAGCTGGTGATTGGCAGCTTCATCATGACAACACCCCTGGTCATGCATTATGTCTTGTGCAGAGCTTTTTGGTGAAACATCAAATCACCCAGGTGACTCAGTCCTCCTATAGCCCAGTTTTGGTGCTCTCTGACATCTGGCTTTTCCCCAAATTAAAATCACCTTTGAAAGGGGAGAGATTCCAGACCATCGATGAGATTAGGGAAAATTCAACAGGGCAGCCGATGGCAACTGATAGAACTGTGTGAGGCCTCAAGATGCTTATTCTGAAGGGGACCGAGATGTCATTGTCCTATGTACAATGTTTCTTGTATCTTGTATCTTCTTCAATAAATGTCCTTATTTTTCATATTACATGGCTGAATACTCTTTGGACAGACCATTATATGTATATGTACGTGTATACGTATATGTCTATGTATATATACATGTGTGTGTGTGTGTGTGTGTGTGTGTGTATGGGTTAGCCTTAGGAAAACTTAAGAGCAAAGTAAATCCAAATTAAGCAAAAGGAAAAAATAGAGAATTCTGTAAATGAATGTTGAATGAAATAGATTACAGAAAAAAAATCAATGAAAACAAAACTGGTTCTTTAAACCAGTAATCTTTGTAATCTTTGAACTAAATCATGTAATCTTTGAACTAAACTGAAAGTCTAAGTTGGCTAAACTAAAGTAACTTAAAATCAGGAATGAAAGAGGGATGTCACTATTGATGTTACAGTAATAAAAAGGATTATGAGGCAATATTTGGAACAACTGTATGCCAACAAAGTAGTTAAAAAAATGAACAAACTCCTAGAAAGATACGAACTGCTGAAACTATCTGAGGAAGAAATAGCTCATCTGAATAGACTTGCAACAAGTAAAATAACTTTAAACTACCACCAGGAAAAGCTTAGGCCCGCATGGCTTCACTGGTGATTTCTACCAAACATCAAAGAAGTATTAGTAACACTCATTCCTCAGCAACTTGGCCAAAAATAGAAAGGAAATTTACTCCAATTCTCTCAATGCTATTTTACCACATTACCATCTTTCTCTGTCTGAACTATTTGAGAGTTAGTTACAGACATAATGCCTCAATAATCCTCTGTGTATTTTCTAAAAAATTATCTGGAAGAGAGACTACAGCTTCTCCGTCTGCTTCTGATTTCATTGTCTATTTCATCTCTGTCTTGGCCATTTGGCAATGTCCATGTAGACAGTCGTTTGTTTGGTTGTTTGAAGGACATGTTTGTGATGGATAAGTTGTTTCACAGAACTTCATGAGCTGTTTTCCTGCTTCCTTTCTGACCCCTAGTCCAAATTTCCCAGTGATGTTCAATTCTTCATTATTTCCTACATCTGCATTCTGGTCACCGATTGTTATCAGCACGTCTTGTTTTGATGTGTGGTCAATTTCTTCCTCAGTACTTACATAAGAACATTCAATTTCACTGTATGCAGTTCAGTAAAATGAAAAAAGGAGAGAAAGAAAAAGAAAGAGTAGAGAAATGCAGCAGCAGTTTACCATTGCCATCTGCTGTGCAGCTTGTGGGTCCAAACTGCACCTGCTGTGGTTCTAGAGTCTTTACAGGTGTAATTAATTAAATTTGATTTATTCTCCAGAACATGCCTATAATGTAGGTATTATTATTTGTATTTTACACACCAGTAAGTACAGTTTAAATATGTTTAATAGTTTTTTAATAGTTCATTAGCCACAAAACCCTGATGACTGATGTGGGATTTCCTGAAATGATGAGTCAGTGTGTTAAAAGAGGAAGATCAAATTGGGTTCCTCCCTGGGCCTGTATTTGCAAAAGCGGACTGAAATACTGGTGCTGCATGTCTGCATTTTCTCCTCACTGCCTATGACTGACTGATTCTTCTTTTTTTTGTAAATTTATTTTATTTTTTTAAAATTATGTCATTGTTGTTCAGTTACAGTTGTCTGTGTTTTTATAAATTAAAAGTCTCTGGGTCTTCTTTTTCTCACCAGTAAGGAATATCTTGGGTCTATTAAAGACAACTTGGAAAGCATTTTTATTGAACACATGTCAGCTGAAAGTGAAAGCAGAAACAGCTCTTAGTTTCTCAGAAATGGACTGACAAGACTTCAAGAAAACAGTTCCTTCCTGTTTAGTACAGTGAATTCTGTGCTATTTTTGTGCCTTTTGTTTTAACATGAGAATATTAGAAAATGTTCCAGGGACTTTTTCTTTTAAATGCTGGGCATGAGGAACCTATATTTCCTTACTTGCCAGTGTACTTGGAGTTGTAGTCTATAGAATACTTATGTTATTCTAAAATATAGTCACAGATTAAATTAATTTGCATGTTAGTATTATTACATTATATTCATATGTGCCTATGTGCTTAGTGATTTCAAATGCTGTCCTGACAGACTCTGAATCTCAGGTGTGGGATGTTTTTATATTAAGCTGTTTTTCAGATGAAGAAGTCCATGCAGGATGTTCTAGGGTCCTCAGCAGCAGGAGTTTGTTTATTCAGTTGTGGTCACGGAGTCTCATATACAATGGAGGCAGGACCAGAAGGTTAGAAAAACAGTCTGTGACACGTGTGCATAGAGAGTGTGTGTACTGTGTGCCCGGCACTGTGCCACGTGCTCAGGGGCGTACTCACCCATAGTCATTGCCCTAACAACAACTTAATCTGGTGGGTGAGATTGACTTCCACCCGAATAATAAAAACAAAGGAGTGAACAAGAGATGAAAGGAGGAGCACTGATTACTGAAGTATCAAGATCTCAAATTGGGACATTTGAAATTTTACCCAGGGGAAATTTATTTTGACATCCATAATAGGAAATAGATTGAATTTTAGTTTTTTTAATGGCCTGACTGTTGTTCTTATTCATATTTATATTTATTTCTGTACCATCTATTCTGTTCTGTTGTCTGTCTGGTCTAGTAAACTCAGTACTGCACTTTAAATGACTATCATTTATATTTTGTTTTAATAATATAGTAAATTACTTTCCAGTACATTGTTTTGGCTCCTCTTACCAACCAATTCTTCTCAGTGAAAATTAGGGTCCCTGTGTGAAGTTCCTCCAGAACTGGGATTAAATGGCATACTACAGGCAAATATAAACTGACTTACAGACACGATTTTTAGCTAATGGGTTTCATTTTGGAGTATGGGGTTTTG